GCATTGACTAAGTTTTGCAAGAATGTCTAGAGTCAACCCCCACACAAAATCCTGTGGCCTGCCGCTGTAGCATTCTCGACCAAAGTGGAGGATTGTCATTGAAGAGTCTTGGACCGCTTGAGGCAACTTACTCAAACTGCCAGCACGGCCTTGATGCGGTGCCTGTATCTAACACAGTAGATGGAGGAATAAATATTCTTCAGGCTGGGGCTGGGCCAAACTCAGGGTGCAACGGCGCAGTCTCAAGCGCCATCACCCCTGCAAAATATACTTTGGCACCCGGCTCGGCGGGTGCGTGGCCTGACATGAAGTGAGATGCGTCCCATTACTGCTGGAGGAAGGGATAGTTGCGGATCCTGCATTGTGTCAGCCTCAACTGAACCATGACAGGGTCCTTGCGAATGCTGGAAACATTCTCTCTTGGCGAGATCCTGCTGAATCTTGACAGATGTGCTGGGAATGCTAGACACTGCAAGCCGCAAAAGACAAATGCACAGGTAGGCCAGCCTCTGAAAGAAGCGTGGGCACAGGGCCCGGGCGGCCCCGTGGGAAGTTTTGCTGATACTTGAAAACTTCTGTCGGAACTCGCAACGAGGGAGACACTAATTCGAACGTCCTGTGCCATTGAGTCTTCAGGCCCATTTTCGCGCTTGAGGGAGGTGGAAAGTCAAATAGACAAAGTTCCCTTCCTTCGTGCAAGGCAGTTTGACCAAACAAATATCCTTGAACACACAAAGTACTTGACGCAAGCTAGGCATCCCCACGCATTCATTTTGACACCTGTTCACAAGCAAGGATATTGTAAGGGGATGGCGCAGGGCGGCCGCGTGGCCAGGACTTTCCGTAGGTACAGCATAGGCTAATAGATGCTTCAGGATCTGATTCGACAGGATATTAGGGTGGGTATGGGATATCTTTGATGTTTGAGGTAGGCAAGCTTTGCGCGCAATTGACGGTTGGTTCAGTATGTGGCGCAGGTGGGTCGGTAAGCGCGCTTATTAAGGGCTCTTGGTCCACAAGGGGCCTAGAATGACTTTGCAGTGTGTCTTACGCGGGCTTGGGGTGAGTTCAGGAAACAAATCGGTTTGAAGTGTTAAGGAGGGTTTTGGGGGATTTGTTAATAGTGGGTGAAGGATTACTTTCACCGACCGACCAACCAGCCCAGTTATACATTGGACCCTGGAAACTATCTCAGGCAGAACAAGATATATTTGCAGCCAGGTCACTGAAAGCGCTGGACCACCTAACCGAGTCATGGTTGGCCGGCCGCAGGGAGTTGGAATCCAGAGTGGTTTGGCCCCCGCCAATGCTGACAACCAAGTGCAACCCTACAAAGCGGAGACCTTGCTTCTCATGCTGGAGAGGGACTTTCATATTTACCTCAGGCACGGTCTACATGCTTGGAAGGTCTCTTCTCCCAAGCCATGGCTCCTTGCCACTCAGGCTTCAGATTTTCCCGTGAAGTTGGGCTGTACACTGCAAAGCGGCTACAACTTCAGGGGGAGCGGGACATTCTAAAGGGTGTCCAGGAAGCCTATGGCCAAAACATGTCAGTGAACAGCATGTTTCATACAAAGAACAGAATTGACTCAAATTGAACACACATTGCACGCGGATTGTCAGCCCTTCCCGCATTCCCTCCAAGCGTCTCTTCATCTGTCCATCTATACATCAATCTGTCCATCCTTGCCTTTGCTGCAGCTGTCCGTCCGTCCATCCAAGTATCCAGCCGTGCAGCCAACAAGGCCAACCAGCGAACCAAACAATCAGCCATCCCTACATCCATCCATCCATCCATCCATCCACCCACCCACCCATCCACCCACCCACCCACCCACCCACCCCACCCCACCCCACCCCACCCCACCCCACCCCACCCCACCCCACCCCACCCCACCCCACCCCATGCCATCCATCCAGCCAATCCGTCCAGCCCAGCCATTCAGCCTGTCCATCTTATTCACATGCAAAGCCGCCTCCGGCAAGTTTCCAAAGGCCGCAAGTGAAAACAACACCGTGACTCGTGCCCAGCCAATTCCGGCTGGTTGACCCGGCCAGGGAGTGCTGGGAAACGCCAAGGCCCTGCAGTCAGTCTCCCTCGCTTTAAGTTGAATGGACTTTCTCAACTGATTGGGGCTCTGGCCCGCGCAGTCGCTTGTGGAAGGTGCCTCAGGCCGCAAAAAGTCAAAACTTTGAACCCCGTGAGATCCCTTCAACACTTCAGCTGACGCAATCAGCCATTGTCTTCCCTGGAAGCACCGTGAGCCATGATGTCCAGCCGCTTCTAGCCAAAGGCTCTTACAGAAACAAAGCTCCAAAAAGAAGTCTGACACTTTTTCGTACTGCTTGATTGCACTTTCCCAGACAATGAGTTCCATAACTGCAAAGCAAGCAGGCAGCTGGGTAGCTCATTGTAGTGCCCACAAAGGTCATCAACCTTGAGCAGTACAGTAGGCAAAGGCCGGGTAATACGATGGGGCCCTCCGCAATCCCTGGCTTCTGGTTGCCACTCCAAAGAGCTTTAGTGGGGCAGCCATCATCATTCTCCCTTGCCTCAAAGGTGCTGTTTCCTGTGTTTCTTGCTCATGGATGCCTTGCGTTTATATCTTGCACGAAGCTTGCCAAGTCACAGTTTGCATGGGATGCAACATGACGCAACAACGAGGTCCGTCGAAGCAAACTCACCGTACCTGGTAAGCTCCCAGCCGCACAAGGCTCACACGTGGCGCCATCGGAACCTCAGCGCCAGGAACTGGGGGGGAGGGGAGGGGCAGGGAGCCCAAATAAGCCTCAAATAAGGCCTTATTAAGGGTTAAAAGGGCTTATTTGGGCTCCCGCCCCAGCCTCCATGAAGTGAGAAAGCTCAAACTATCATACATGCTCTATGACCTGCACATAGGCTCGCACCCCGCCCCCGCACCATCGCTCCCGATGCTCGCACCCCGCCCCCGCACCATAGCGCCCATCCTTCGCACCTATTTCCACGCCCGCCTTTTTGGATTCGGCGGCAATAGAGCACCTCTCTTGAAACTAGCTAAATTACATTGCATTACATTACGTTACGTTACATTACATTGCATTTCATTACATATATGCACTGCATTGCCTTACACCACATCTCATTACATTACAACACATCACATTACATTTCACACATACATTGCATTACACTACAGTACATAACGTGACATTCCATTAGATTACGTTACATCTCACTAGTCAGTCAGAGATCTCTTCGCCCTCGCTCTCACAAGGCAAGGGAAACCACAAGGCTCATGGCGCACTTCCAGAGCTGGCCATGGGTCTATACCAGAAGCCTATGCCTCCATTTTGGGGCGGATGAACACCCATGCACCACCTAATTTGATGTTCACTCCCCTGGTGAAGGGTTTTGACCCACAGCCAGCTGTCCTTTGTGCCAAGGCTTCGGCAGTCGCAGAGATTGAGGAGGCAACTGAGGGCCTGCGGCTCAACCGAGGGGCTTTGCCCCGGAAAGCCCGTCCTCCGGGCCACATAGCTTTCGTTGGGTTCGGAAAAGCTATCTGACAAGCCATGGGTCAACACCAAAGACGTTCACAAAACGTACACGGTTGACATATAAGTCTGACAGCAAGGATTCAAGAGTGATAGTTGGCTCAATGCTTCAGCAAGTGCAAGCCCTCTCCGATCTCAGAATGTATGAGCATTTATTTCATTCAACCTTGGATGCCACAGCCAGAAGAATCCATGTCATGTATCCAAATCATCAATTCAGTATTCAGTGTAAAAATGAAAGAAACTGGTGCTAGCTACAAAGGAGCCCTACAAATGGCCTGAAACAGCATTTTGGTGGCCCTAGTGTCACGGGACGACAGAGTCCATCACTTCTTCCAACCGTACCCTTTTCTGCCACGTACGTGCACTATGCACACAAAACAAACAGCTTACCTACAGTAGGCGATAGAATGCAAACTGGCGGCGACAAGCCAATACAACCCCGGCCTGCTGATGCGCGGCAAACACAGGCCAAATGGCCTTGCCGTCCGCGCTGGCAGGGATGTGCCTGGGGCCAACCGTGCCCGAGCTCCCGGAGCTGCCATAGGAACTCCTTCCCATCTGTGATGTGGTAACAAGGCTAGGTCCTCCAGTAAACAGGTTAGAATAAGGGTACCTTGTTTTCTGTAGTCTATTTCAGTAGGGCAACCCTCCCCCAAAAAAAGGGTAAAGGGCACTACTGGGGGACCTAGAAGGTATGGAACCAGTCAGCCCCATTTAAGTCATGCTGTAGCTTCACTTCATGGTGTGCTGAGTAACAGCATCCGACCAAAGAGTATTTGCCCTCGCTTCGTCTGAGCGGCTTGGCGCTCAACGATCAAGCAGCCCTAAAAAATAGTGCATGCCTCGTACTCCCAGCCTCACCCTGAAAGAACGCCATGCGCACATTGGTCTGGACTTGTGGGGACTCCCTGAAACCTGTTGCCTTGCAGAAAGTCTTAACACCCGCTGTTTAAATGCTCAGTCCGGATTGCATGATACCCTAGCTGGTCTGGACTCTGGACCGGCTGTCTGTACCAAGGGTCTTTACATGTGAGGCACGAATTGAGAATGTGAAACGCCAAACAACAAATCAGCCAAATCAACATCGGTTCCTGGTGTGAGACATACCCTGTAGGCCCCTCGCGCTTCACGAAGTGCGGGCTTCTTGGCATCCGATACCGCAACTGGCGCGGTCAAAGGCCAACGGTCGGTCTGTCCTGTGAGGGTACCCTCCTTTTTTTTTTGGGGGGGGGGTCCGACTATTTCACGACACGCCCGAATGGAAATCTGGGCAAAGGCCGCAAGACCGGAAGATGCTGACACTATTGGACCATTCCAGTGATTGTTCTGGAAGGTAGCGCGGTTGAAGCCCTGCATCACAAATTGCCCACATATGGGGACCCCAAAATGGTGGTTTTCGTGTTGGTCGCCCTTTAAACCTACCTGAAAAGGGTACCCTGAAAAAGACACACGCCCATCTAAGTTCATCCATCCAGCTGACCGCGTTGGATGGATTCGTGGCCCACGGATCGCCTGTGTCGAGACGACTTTGGAGTCTCAGCCGCCCCGATCCCCAGAAACAGCGGCAGTTGTGCAGTGTCTGGCAAAGAGTTGCGCCGGGTCCTGGAGTCTTCAAATGGGTGCGTCGTTTTGGATGGCACCCCTTGAGAGTAAGCTCAGGGTTCCCCCCATTTGGACACAAACCTAGTGGCCACTAGTGGTGCCGTTGGATGATGTCACGAGCCGCTAACAAATCGCACAGTTGCAGGTTGGAAGCTCAATGTTTCTTCTGGGGCCATATTATGGGGACATTCTTGATGGTAGCCGTCGAAGTGTTGGCTTCGCCATCTTCAAGCGCCTGCCAAGAGATCCTGTGAACAGAAGCACGCTTCTTCGCGAAGAGGAAGGCCCGAATGATCTCTCCCAGCCTCTCCCTGTCTCACAAATCGCATCCCTAAACTCATCTCCTGCACGTGCGGAGCTGCACATCTTCGTCGCTGTCACCCTGCAAACAAAAAAAAGCAGGTCACACACTTGCACTTCACCATCGTCACCCTCTCCACAGACAATTCAGCAAGGCAAGTGGGTGCTGTTGCCAGGAATACAGCTACTTGCGCCCGCCTCGCTGGAATCGCTGGTGCCTAAGCAGACCACTTCTCCGAACTCTGCAGGCCTTTTGAGGTTTCGGCCCAAATGGTCAAAGCGATTTGGCCATGGGTCAAAACCCAAATCGTACCCCCAGTGAACATCCCAATCCCCATCTAAAAAAGACGACTAACATGGGTGGTGAATTCACCTATCCCAAAGTGAACCAAGGACCCTGGTGTGCAGAACTGTTGACACTTACCCTCAGAGCCCAGCGAGCCACAACAAGGCAAAAATCCGAAGAAAAGCTGCTGGCCATGCTTGGCTTCGGGCGTGCCGAGAGATCTTCGCCAACCCTAGGCGAAAAGCGCTGGATGGAGGGCAAATCTAGGTTCTGAAGCATGAGGAGAATTCAGGATATGGAGGTCTCCAAGTCGAGGCTGGCACTGGTACTAGGAGTTAGCTTCAGCCAACAACTTCTGGTCATCAACAGGAGCTGAGCCATCCTTCCCTTGCAAATATTGACATTTACGACTAAGTAAGATCCTGTTCGATGGAATTTGCATCACCGTGATCGGGTGCCCTTTCTTCAAACAGCTTTTGCACACACCCGGCTGAAGCGACGCGGATTCCCAGCCCAAACGGTCCCACGGTTCGCATGCTGTGCTCCCGCGCGACTCCTTGGCACCTGGGCTGCAGGTCGGAGCACGGGTATGCAGATATGGCCATGGGTCAAAATCCAAATCGTACCCTCAGTGAAGATCCCAATCCCCACTAAAATAGGTTCTAAAATGGGTGGTGCACCTACCCCAAAATGGTACCATTGGTTTTGACCCACAGCCATATGGAGAAAGGCAACCAAAGCCCGCGCATGTGTTGCAAGGAGCACGGGATGATATGTGTCATTCACGATTTTAACCGAAATTTGTAGGTGGAGCCGCGCGGCACGACCCAAGTGGCGGTCTGAGATGAGGCGCCGTTGTGCAAAGGATGACCAACTTTTTCAACAAACATGCACTGGAGCACCCGGGCGGAAGATCGATGAAAAGCTTCAAGTTAATCGTCTGTGGAAGCACCACGGCATTGTTGAAATGGGTGGGACGCTACCTTGATGCTTTGACTCAAAATCACATTATGTCACATTGAACAAGAGGGAAAAAGTGTTTCCTGCACACAACTCCAGAAACTGGTTGGCGCAACTAAAGCCGCGACCCTGGCATGGCTTCTCTGCAAAAGCAAGGCAGCTTCTCAAACAGCCAGAACGAACCTCATGCCATCTTACGTCAAATCTGCTTGAGCGGAAGCCGAAGATGTGCGCTGGAAGCAACCGCAAGTCGAAGCAAAAAAGGGTCGCGAGAGGCACCCTTGAGCCCGCAAAGCCGTCAGCTTTTCACTGAATGCAGCTTAGAACTCCCCCCACTTTCACTAGGATGAACACATCAAAACAAGCAACGATGCAAATCTCGTGCCTAGCTTGCAAGACGTGGTCCAAGTGAAACCAAAAAAGAAAATAACAAAAATGGTTGCTGAGGTTTCAGACATAGATTGAGTGGTCAAGTGACGCAGTGAAGTTCCGGGCCCACTGAGCTTGCCACAGCAGCAAAGAGCCGCGCGCAAAAGCTGCCACTGCTCCTGGCACCAAGGGCAAATTCTGGAAAACTCGCCGCAAACACAAAACACTGCCTGATAGATGCTGTCATGTGCTTCATGCCAGAATTGCAGCTCGCCGCACTTTACCCTAGGAGTAGGGCAAGCGTTTACACCGATCAACTTGGCAGAACTCAAAAACAGATTGGCATGAGAAGAGTTTAGCCATGATGTGGGCTGTAACTTGTTCCACGACGTATGTTGAGTGTGAGAGGCTTCAATCCTTTCTCTCACTTCTCCTGTAAGTTCCTC